TTGCACACATGCTCGCAAGCGCCCTGCTACAGGGCTATGTCCCCAGCCCGCTGTAATGCTTTTTATTTTATTTTATTAGCATATATTCTGTCCCCACCTCCCTTCAACATTAAAACTGGACATTTTTACTGTCGCAGATATAAATGAGTATCCTTAAAAGGGCCAGTTAAACAATGGGGTGAGTACCTGCCCCATCTCAAGGGAGGTCATGAATGGCAATTTACCCTGTAACAACCCAGGTTCCTTTCTACATAGATGCATTCCATGAGCTGGGGCTTGTATCACTTGACGTTTATGGCAACAGAAGAGACAGTGTGTCAGATGTCCGCATGGTGTGCAAGGTGTCGGGATTTGGGGAGTGTCTGGAGCCTCTGATGCTATCTGGGCTGGTATGCTGTCACCACACATTCTGAGGATGCCAAGAGCCAGTTCATAATTGTTGATTTGCATTTCCTTTCTTTACAACACCCCTTTGGCTTATCATGAGATGTAGGTTGCTATAGTTATGAGAAGTCTGAGCTGGGAAGGACTGTGGAAGATGCTATGTGTAGAGGAAACGTGTGGCCCACTACTCCCTTGTCCAGTTGAGCCTTTGAGATGGCTGGAGGCGATCACCAGCTGCCACAGTGCTGGTGGGTGGTACAGGATCAGTCGTGCATCTTTACTATTCTGCAAGCTGGGGAGGTTTCCCTCAGTAGCCTTGGGGATCCCCAAGAGGCCATGTGAACAGAACCCCCATTAGCAGGAAAGGTATCACTGCATCTCTGAAGCAGGCTGGGGAACATGGGGCCTTTTGAGGGGCCTTTTACTTAGCTACACTTAGCTTTATGCAGCAGGAGAGGGCCTGCTAAGTGGAGTGTGAGTGGCATGTCTGCAACTGAAGTCTCAGAGGAGCAGAGTGCCGTGGTTATAAACCCAGGCTCTAGAATTAGATAGCCTGCTTCACACCCAAGTTCACCACCAGCTCTCCGAGACCTTGTGTGGTCACTCAGCACCCCTGTGCATCAGGATCCTTACCTGTGACAAGGTGATACTCACACCTGCCTAGACCTGTAGGGTGGTTAGGACGACCTAGGGAGGCAGAGGTCATGAATGGCAATTGAAAGGCAGTGGGAGCAGTGCCTGGCTGCATCGCAGGCATCACCAGGAGAGAAGAGAGTAACAGGCACACATTCTGTCCAGCTCTGTAGCACTGCGACAAGTTTTCTTTTTTTTACATTTTTATTTATTTTTTTTAGTCATACATGACAGTAGAATGCATTTTGATATATAATACATACATCTGCCCATGTTTTCAAGGGTCTCATATTGAATACTTTTCTAAAAGGAGGAAAGTCAGTACTATAAATTTGAGTGTTCATATATTGAGTGGAATAAAATGACTGGTTTATTATGCAGTTTGTTGCATCTTCTTTCGTAACATAAGAATGTTAAAAAGAAATTTAAAGAGGTAAGAGCTGGTTTTTCTGTAGCACTTACTAGCCTGTATCTGAGGTGCTGTTTCTTGGGCTTTTCAAGTATTAACTACTTGACTCTCCCTGAGTGCTGTTATAGCTCCCAGTTTACAGTGAGGATTGAGGTGCAAGAGGTTAATTGGCTACCCAAATGCATACACCTAGTGCATGATGATGCTTAGATTACTTATTTTGTGGATTCCCTATCCAGAGGGTTCCCAGGCAAAGGCTGTACAAACAACTACCTGCTGGGGCTGCAGGTAGGGCTTGTTGCCAGGGGAGCCTGAGGCATTTGCTTCCGGCCTTGGTTGTAGATGATAAAACTTGACTTGCTAACTCAAGCAGGAAAAGAACCTGTCAGTCTGCACTGCTTAGCTTGCAAGATCCAGAGGAGCCTGAAGAACAGACCTGAGCAGACAACAAGAGGCCACGGTGCATTCAGAAGGCCTCTGCCTGCCTGTTGCCTCTGAGACCCCCCAGTGGGAGGGGCCTCTAGGATTAGGAACCGTGGTCCCTCCCTACACCTCTAGCTCCAGATTGATGCCCAGCCCCTGATTGGCTCTGCCTAGGTCATGTGATAGCTTCCCATTGCATCCCTTCTCTCTGGGTTGTCCTGGCTTCTCCCCCCCAAATCAGAAGAGTTTTGAAGTGACAGGCAGTCAAAATGACAAACGTCCTCTACCCTAGGGCTTCACCCAGATGCTGTGCATGGTCCCCCTAGCCTCAGGACTCTGTGACCCCTCTCTGCCAGGGCCAGGGCTGTCTTCTACTGTTTTCCTGCAGCACCTGGAATGGAGCGTGACACCAATTAGGCTTCCAGTAACTGTTCTGCGCCAACTGTAATGAGTGTGTTAGCCTTTGGCACAAAGGAAACGAAGGATGCACACTTATTTATAGATCTAGCTTTTGATTCAGAACAGTCTGTTTCTTGACTGAGCTCCTTTTGTTTATCAGGAAAACAGTTGATGTTTATCATTCCTCTTAGGAAAGGAAGAAGAAAAGGCATTTCAACATTTAAATGTTTCTGTGTATATATTTAAGTACTTAGTGCTTATATTGCAGTGAATTAGCAGAGTAGGGCTGTTAGAACAAGTTTCAGTTTTAATTTCCACCTATGCTTCGCTCTCCATATCCTGGCTCCTCTGCCTAATTCAGCCACTGTGATTATCATCCTCGCTTCCTCTTCCTCCATCACCGCTCATCCCCCAACCCCACTCAGTTTCTAAGATTTTTCATTGTTCACAGCGCCCCCTCACTCCTGCCTTGCCCGCCCATCCAGCCATGCCACCCTCCATCCTGCCCACTTGCTCTCCAGCAGGCTGCTCTGGTTTTCCCACAGTGCTTCTTAAAGGCACAACAGCTGCTGGTTGCAATTGGAAAGGCTCAGGGGTCAGGTTTAGATGTGGCTCTGTCACTCGGTATCTGTGCTGGTGCAGGATGAGTCCTGATGGAAGGGTACAGTGGCTTGGCCAAATTGCCCCTACCCACAATAGCCTAGAGGGAGGCAGTAGTCCATGATCTTTGCCTCCTTCTCCACCAGGGGCCAGGCCCTTCCTTTTTCTACTCCTCTAGCAGATGGCTTGTCCTGCTTGCCACCTCCTGGCTGCCCTACCTCCAGCTTTGAAGGGGCAGGGCTGGGGCGTAATGTGTGCTACCTGAGGACACCCTCTTCTTAATGGGCTTCCGGGCCACCCCAGGCAGCAGCTCCTGCTGACCTCATGCTATCTGAGTGGCGTTTGTGGCTGCCCTCAAGTTGTTGACCAAGCACGTTGCCAGGGTCCCCCTTGCTCGGGACCACCCATCTCGTACCATCACTCATCCCATGGTAGGTGCCTCCAGCTGCTCGTGACTTGCTTTTTAATACAGTACGATTTAGTTAGGGAAGGTTCTCATGGTAACCAAGGTGCATGGTGTTCGCATGATCTTCTCTGCAAGGAACATTTAGGATCCTGGAATTCTCTTTTCTCCTCTCCGACCACTTCACTTTGCCTTTATCATGACCTCCAGCTTTTCACTTACTCTTGATTCTTGTCTTTTGGCCCCTGGCCACTAACCCTCTTTGCATTCATTAATCTGAGAGTATCACCCTCATTCTCTTTTCCTGGGCCAGCTCCAGAGCATCATAGAGAAAAATGGCAGCAGGGAGCCGTGGGTGCCATGGCATGGCCAAACCACAGTTTAAGGCAGTCCTCTTGTGAGCAGTGTGAGGTTTTCCTTGTTGCTCAAAACGTTTTTTCTTTCCTTCTTCTTTCTAAATTCTTAGCCCCACTTCCTTTTCCTCCCAGCAGCCCCCTCCTCCCCTGACAGAGCAGTGGTAGGCTGTCAGGGCCACCTTAGTTCTCCCGCCCTCCTCCGAGAGCCTGGCCTCCTCTCAGCAGGCCTTTGGACAGAGACCTGGTGTCTTTCGCCTTCCGGGGCCTCTCACTCCTGGGTGTCTTCTCCTTGCTGTCCCTTCCTCCACGTTGGGGACTTAATCCAGCTGCCTCCATGAAGAACAAGGACATAGAGGAGTGGCCCTTCTTCACCCCCAGGCCTGTGCCCCTGTCTTCCACTCGCAATCTGGAGTCTTCCTCCATTTTGCCTTCAGCTGCTCCTTGGAGCTGGGCCCACTGGTAGGTCCAGCAGCTGCTTGGCCTCCACTGCGTCCACCCCATTGCTCCCCTCCCTGAGGCCAGTTGGTGTCCTAACATACCCTTTCCTCACCCCAGGAGCCCCACTTCAGTTTCCTTCCCTGGCTCCTCTCTCCTCCTCCTTCAGGAGAGATGCTTCCCGCCCTGCCACTGTGGCCTGTCCTTGCTGATTCTGAAGCCCTTGGCCGTTTCATGCCCCTTCTTCCTGGCCAGCTTCATGGTGGTCCCTCCTCCCCTCAGCCCCCCACATCTTCCTGCAGCTCTGGTGTGATTGCGTCACTCTCTGCAAGGACCTGACTCCTCACTTGGCTCTTTGTGGGCTGTGGCAGAGGGTGAAGGCAGTCACGCTATCGTGCAGTTATGGTGGCAAGAGGGCAAAAGATTTAGGGGCATGGGGGGCAGTGGGGGACAGCTTTGGGAAGAGCTATCATCTCAGGCTCCGCAGCCGCCCTGGCCTGACCCCATTCCTGCCGCATGCGAGGCTGGGTGTGCACTGGACATGCCATGGCCAAGTGGAAGCGCAGCCTCTTCCTGGAGTGCCTCCCCCACCCCTTGCTGTGTGGTCTCCGTCCTCTCCTCGTTGTCACTGTCCACTCAGCGGCCTGGCGGCCTGGCTACTGTGCCTGAGGCCTGTGAGTGCTTCACAGGACTGCGGCTCCCCCGGGACACGTGTGAGTTTGGGCCTTGTGTGGGGGTTGTTCGTGTGCCTGCCTCTTCCCTGTCCTCCATCAGAGCTACTTGAGATCAGGGATTATCAGGGATTGTGCCGATCAACCACAGGTCGCCCGCCTTTGGCTCTGTGCGCCAGGCCGCGGGCTCCTCGGGAGGCCTTTGCTGAAGGGAAGCTCAGCGTGTGCAGGCTCCCGTGGTCCAGTGCCGATTCTCAGATGTCTGTCTGTTTATCTTTCTAAACCAGTGCTTAGAAAGAGCCATGAAGTTCGCCTTCGAGGAATTCCACCTCTGGTACCAGTTTGCTCTGTCACTGATGGCTGCTGGAAAGGTGAGTTGCCCTGTGCGACCAGCCCCGTGTCGATGCTGCCACTGACGCCGTGGGCTGAGGAGCTCCATTTCAGTTTGTCCTGTGGTCCTTTCATAAGGGCAATCAACTCGAATAATTTGGAGGCCAAGATGGAGGGATATAGCACTGAAAAGAAAAATTCTGAAGTGTTTGCCTTTTTCTAGCTCTTGTCACTTATGTGAAAGGGACGTGGCTTAAACTAAGGCTCGTTCTGACCCTTGCTCTCCTTTGAGAGTGTAAACGTACTTCTGGAGGGGGTCTTGGTTAACTTTAGTAATGTGTGTGTGCCATCAGGCTGTGTGATTCTGCACTGGGTGGCAGCCTAGGCTGATCCACAGCACAGGGCCCCAGGGCAGTCCCCTAGTGCCTCAGTTTGCTCTTCAGTAAAATGGAGCAATAATAGTATCTGCTTTGTAGAATAATTATCAGGCAAATGAGCTCAAGTGCAGAAGAGCTTATGGTGGTAGCCCCACTATGTGCACGCTTAATAAAGGAGGTAGCCATTGCTTTTCTTGTTAATTTGTGCAGTTTAGTGAATTTGACACTTCACGAATTGTTAAGTTTGAGGTATAAAATTCTCTGGGCCAAGTGGACTCAGCAATTTAATATGGTATGGTTTAAATTGGATGGTTAATATTTACCATAACATAGATTTCCACTGTCTACTACTTTCCTGTTTTCACAGTGGCGATAGTAGGGTGAGGCTCGGGGGCATTCCCACTTGTCTTTAGCCACGGTTTACTCCCAGCCACGCAGCAGGCCCAGCTCTGGTTATCTCTGTACCTGGGACCCACTGGGTTAGAAAACTTCAATAAGAGGGAGCCCAACCAAAATTCTCTGAAGGCATTATTAGTATTTGGTCCCATCCAAAATTTTGAGTTTCACAGAAGTCATCTCCCCTCATAAGTCTGCTCGGGCCGTGAAGGTGCTGAAAGAGTGTATCCGCCTGAAGCCGGACGACGCCACCATCCCGCTGCTCGCCGCCAAGCTGTGCATGGGCTCCCTGCACTGGGTGAGTAGGGCCGCCCACTCCACGGCAGGAGACTCAGGACAGACACCACCTTTTCCACGCCAAAGCACAGGGAGAAACTGATAGCAATTCACAGGGACACCAGGATGAGGCCCTTTAGTGCTCCAGTCCTGGGCCCTGACCTCTGTGGGCCCTGCCCACACACCCCAAGGACAGAGAGGAATAGGATATTCGGGGATACTTCACATTTTCTTTTTTGTGGAAATATGATTCAGAAGTAGCAGGGATGCAGTAGTTTGGAATCCGTGCCCAGGTACATCTTAACTGTACACAAGCACCCCAGGACTTGTGAGGAGTATGCCCCTGAATTATTCACCCTTAGCTCAGCCTGGGGATCTCTGAGAAGCAGCGTCACTCACCCTCTGCCTTATTCCTCTTCCTTCACATTTGCTTTCTTCAAATATTTTGTTGAGATTTGCATTTGGCAATAGTCTGATTTGTTATAGTTTTAGTATCTCAAAAATGTATCGCTACAGTAGAAAATAGAAAACAGACTAATTGCTGAGATGTGGTATAGATAACTGTTACATAAATGTAGTTTCATTTTTTCTAACTTCATATCAAGGTCAGTGGTAAGCAGGTGCTGGGGAGTCAGGCTGCCGGGTAACTTTGACTCTGCTCCTCCACCATGGTCCTTGCTGCCTGGCTTTTCCCGGTGTTCCCCAGCAGGAGGGAGGAAGCCTTATGAAGACAGTGACCACTCTTTTTCATTTTGCTTGAGAAAATGGAGAAAAAAGAAAGCATGCTCTCACCTGAAGCAGCTGTGGCATGGCACGGGGTGGTCATGTAGATTCTGGCAGTTCAGAGGCTGCAGGTGGAGGAGCAGTGTGGGCAGGGGGTGAGCACAGGAGTGGACCAACCCTGGGGCGTGGAGCATGCCAGCCTCCAGCAGTGATTCTGCTGCCCTCCAGATTCTAGCTGAAGCTCTAATTATTACTGTAACATATACATCTCTAAACATCTCAGATAAACCCCTTTTTAAAAAATAGGAGTTACAAATCTCATCTGTATATTTTTTCTTACATTTTTGTTAAATTTTTCAAACACCACAGTAGCTTGACCACAGCAGTCAAGAGTATAATGAACTCCATGAACCATCACCAGCTTCAATAATAATCAACATTTGCCACACTTTCAAAGGAACAGATCTTATTATTCTTGCCTCTAATGAATTGTGCCAGAGGTCTTTGCATGTGGTTTACAGGTGCACATTTCTCCTTGGAATCTGCTGGAGAGACATCCATGTGTTGTGTTCTGTCAAAAAAAGTTAAGAGTTTTGAAAATTTTAATAGTTTGTGGCAAAAAATATCCGAGCCTAAGTGGGTTCTTTATATCATAGTAAAAAAAAAAGGTAAAGACCCAAACACAAAACATTCCAAGAACTTAATTCTTTACAAATAAGTTTAATTGAACTTCTGAACACCTAGCACGACCTCATTACAAGACCATCCATAAAAAATAAAGATGAAAAAGATATAACCCTGCCAAATATGAAAGTGACTTTGGAAAAGAAGGAAAATAAGCAAAGAAGGAAAATGAAGGGAAAAAAAGGGGGCTGGATAGGAGAGTTAAGGACTCTTGGAGGCTCTAAGGAGGAAGCAGAATCACCAGAGTGGAACTGGAAGATTCAGGAGCTATTTTCAAAATGACTCATCAGAATTCCATTTTGGGCAGCAAGTGCTTATGGGAACTCATGTTAGAAATTCTGCAGGTGGTTGTTGTTGTTGTTGTTTTTCACTTGTCTCATTTTTCAGTTAGAAGAGGCTGAGAAGTTTGCCAAAACAGTCGTTGATGTAGGAGAGAAAACGTCAGAGTTCAAGGCCAAAGGCTACTTGGCTCTGGGGCTCACGTACAGTCTGCAGGCCACTGACGGTGAGAAGTTCCTCCTGTGGAGCCTGGGTCTGCGCTGCAGGGCCCCACGGTCCCCTTCTGTCTGGGGAGGGTGCAGAAGTGGGGTCATTCTGACATAGCTGTGGGGACCCTAGTGCTCTGTCCTCTGCTGGTGTCACCACAGGCTCCTCGCTGATGGATGCAGAGCATCCGCTGTGAGGTGGAGAGATGATTCCCGTACCTGGCCTTTTACTTGCTTCAGCCCCAGCCCATGACCTGGGCCATTCCCTAGTGAAAGGATGTTGGCTCTTAGGTGCAGGGTGGTAGAAGAGTTCAGGGGCAGACACTGCCAGGAAGCATCCCTTGACTGAGCAGGAGCTCTCCACTCACACATTTTAATTCATGGCTACACACACATGCAGTGCAACACTCACCAAATAACGATGGCTCTTTGAGGCAGTGATTTTATACAGTTTAGATATGCTTAAAGTTTTGGTGGATGGACTTCTAGCTATTTTTTTCATTTTATTTTATTTATTTATTTTTGGTACTGGGGATTGAATCCAGGGGAACTTAATCATTGAGTCACATCCCTAGCCCTTTTTATTTTTTATTTAGAGACAGGGTTTCACTAAGTTACTTAGGGCCTTACTCAGTTGCTGCGGCTGGTTTTGAACTCATGATCTTTCTGCCTCAGCCTCGAGAGCTGCTGGGATTATAGGCATGTGCTACTGCACCTGGCCTAATTGTGTTTTATATATTAATGAAGTTTTCAATGATATGTTTATGGAAAGTATAAGTCAATAGTTGTTTTTCTGATCTCATCCTTTTAACATGTTATTAAATATAATGTGAGTACAAAGACATCCCCTCACATAGAACTTAATGAACTATTGTAAGGCATATGCCCTTGTAACCAGCAGCCTGCTCAGCTGTTAAGGAGATAGAATCTTGCTGGCCACCTGGGGAGCCCCCTAGATCACCCTGCCAGTCAGAAACCCCATTCACCATTAGGAGAAAATACTATCCTAAGTTTTCAGTATATACTTTCATATATTTTATATATATGAAATTTACAAATTATCTCTGATTCTTTCCTCTGCCCTAAAATATTGACCCTGGGGAAGTTTTGCATATCAGTTACTTTTCAATAATGGATCTGGGGCTAATTTTCCATGTACACATGATCCATTGACCATACTCAGCACATTACCCCATAGATAGTAGACTTGCAGGGAGAAGTAGGTTTCAAGCCACAGCTTTACCATGTGAATTCTCAGTTGAGATTCTACCCTGATTAGCCCTGAAGCTTTGGGAGTCACTGGACCCTGCTGGACCTCCTCTTGCCTCCATGTTCAGTGGGTCGATCCAAGGTTCTCTCCAGCTCCATTGCTGTTGTTCTAAGTCTGTGAGGGCCACAGCCACACCCAGCCCTCTGTCAAGTCAGACTGGGAGCTGCCCTCACGTAGCTACAGTTCCCCCCACAGAGGTGGTACTTCTCTCCTTGGCAGGCAGGCTTTGGGGAGCCATTTCTCAGGCACTCTACATAGCAGAAGTGTCAGCTTACAGCTGGGTGGCCTCCCACACCCTGTTTACATAATCTTGTTGGGTTGGCGCTCCGTCCCCTTTTCCCGCATCGAGGTTTCACGCTGGCCTTTCATGGCATCATGCTCATGCTCATGGCCCTGGATCCCAGCTTCTCAGTGCCAGAAGATCTCTGAGGGCCTGCTGATCCACTGGGCTTGAATCCCATCCACACCATTCCAGTAGAACCAGCGTTCATCACCTGGCTGCATGCCCACCCTGGGATAAGCAGTGTGCTCCTTCCAGAGTTCCCTGCTGGTCTTTAGAAAATGTCCTCCATATACAATTGCTATCAAGAATGACCATCCAGTACACACCATCCCTTGGCATTGTCTACAGTTTTGTCCTCTGAGCACGAGTGCCTCGGGAGTGGGACTGGCCTTCATGTCCCAGTAGGGCCCGCCATATTAGGCACTCAGGAATTGTTGCTTTGAATCCAGGTGAATGTGTCATTCTGGTGATGGGTTTGGTATTGTCAAAAACTCCCTGATCTCCATGCCACTGACTAATTGAACCCTTTTCTTAGCTTCTTTGCGAGGGATGCAGGAGGTCCTACAGAGAAAGGCGCTTCTTGCATTTCAGAGGTGAGTGGGAGTTCATCTTTTTGCTCAGTTTACATAATGACTCCAAAGTATGATAAGTATAAAAAGAAAGGTATTTATAAAGATTATGTAAACAGTGCTTTACCCCCAGGAGCCTTCCGTCTGGAGCAGTGAACGTGCAGCATCGAAACTCGCCGCATGGCTTGCTGCCATGTCCCTCTGCATTGTGGCCATTTATCCTGATGAAGGGAGCTCAGCTTGAAAAAGAGACACTTGGTCTAGGGAGATGGCTCCTTTATTAGAGACTTTTGTCATATCTAGAAAGGGGATCATTCTTTTTTGGATTTTTTTTTACATATTAAGATATGAGGTTTTTATATTAAGAAATGAAAAGGCTAGGTTTTAGAGAGTCCCTGGAATACTGTGTTGGGAGTCAGCCCAGCGAGCCCCGGGCCCCACCCCCATTTGTCCCCTCACTGTGTGGGTGTGGACTCAGTGAGTGTCACGGTGTTCTTTTACATCCCTTACCCACCCACAGGGCAGACAGGACAGCAGTAATGCCCCTGCAGCCAGCAACTGAGGCATGGGCTTTGGAGGAGTCACCAGTCCCAACGATGGAGGTCGAGTAGACCAAGGTCTCCTAGCTCCGGCCCAGGTTTTCTAGCACCTACTGTACTACACTGCCCCGATCTTACTCTCATTAGATATAATAAATCACTAGAATGAAATTATTGCCTGAAAATTGTGGCCTCATGACATAAAATTTAGAAGCGGAATAGAGTCTGTCACCTTAGATATATATCTGAGTTTCATTTAATTCCTTGGAATTGTATTAGAAGCTTAGTTATTTATTTGAAAATGTCACAAGCCCCTTTCGTACCAGCCACCATGTTGGGTCTCCCCTGAGGGAGGCCTTACCTCCAGCTGTCATGGTGTCCACATGCTGTTTTTCACCAAGTCCTTGTTACTCGGCTTTTCGGTTAGTCTGAAGCACTTCCATCTCACTCCTTCCTGTTTCAGGACTGTTGCTAGCTTTCTCGTTTGCCAGTCCCAAGCTGGTTCATGACAAAAAGTACCAGTTGACATCTGCAGACACACCTCCTGTCTCTGCTCAGGTTTTGTTGGTGTTCTTCAGCACGGAGCATGGAAAGCATTTCCATTTCAAACGATTTCAGGTTTTAAATTCTCCAGCCCCAGTTTGTAGAGCCCACACCTGGCTGCCTCGGAGAGGGGCCGCTGCGTCTGCTTCACTCTTCTTAAATCAGCACATCTTACTGCTTCTCCAAAAACAGCCTCAGTGGTGGTCTGCCTGGAGCTGCCAGGGCGACTCTGAGTTATGTAACAGCTGCTCCATTGGCCTGAATTCTTTTATGTTCCTTCAAAGGGATTTTAAAATATTAGTTCATATGGGAATAAAGAGTAATAAAATCCCAGTAACATAACTGACTATATTGCAGAAGCCTAACCTAAATTAGGATTTGTGTGAAATATAAAATGTTTTCCAAAGGAGTAAATTTGAGGGAAGTTCTTGTACACATTAAATGAATTGTAAACTTTTTTTAAAAAATAGGTTTTAAATTGTTGAGAACTTTATTTTATTCATATATTTATACACAGTGCTGAGAATCAAATCTATACGTGCTAGACATAGAGCTCTACCACTAAGCCACAATCTCAGAATTTTTTTAGTTGTTGATGGACCTTTATTTTATTAATTTATTTATATGCAGTTGAGAGTTGAATCTAGTGCCTCACACATGTGAGGCAAGTGCTCCACCACTGAGCCATAACCCCAGCCCCATATTACTTCGTAACGTAAATAGATAATTTAAACCCATGTGTATGATACTTTTTCTACCATATATTTACATATTCTCCCTCACAGTCCTGTTAATATTATTATTTTGTGTTTTTCATTTAAAAAGAAAATGGGATTCATAAAGGGGCAGGGTTACAGATTCAGCAGGTGAAAAAATAAGTCTTAATTATGACTAGAGCTACAGTTCAGAAAGTTTTGCTATCCAGGGGATTCAAGGACTTGGTGATTCTTGAAGACATTCGAGTGGTGTGGCATCAAGTGTACTGTTTGTATACTCGTGAGCTTGACCCAAGCAGCTCAACCTGTTCATTTGCTCCATACACAAGCACAGTGAAGAAAACAGAATTGTTTGCAGGGTGGTAAGTTGCCACTTCATGGCCTCTCATGTCCTGCTGAAAAAAGCAGTCCTGAACACAGCTGAGAGCGTGCTGGGGTGCCTTGAACCACACATGCAGAAAGCAAGAGCTGCTCCTGAGGAAGGGCATGTTGTCCTTTGTGTTTCTCAGCATGGCGTGAGGTACACACCCTCACTTTGTTCCCCTCTTCCTCCCAGCGTGAGTTCAGCGTGGTCTGCTCTGTGTGTGTGTGTGTGTGTGTGTGTGTGTGTGTGTGTAGGGTGACCAGCCATCCTGATTTGTTGGGAACTAAGCCAAAACATCTCAGAATGTGGGATTTTCAGTGCTCAAGCCATGGAGTCCTGGGTAAACCTGTGTATGTAACTAGTGGAAGATACCTCAGCAATACATATGACCAGGTGTGCCCATTTTTGTTAACTTAGGACACTAATTCCATGATCCTGGAATGAGGAATGAAGGGGACTTGAGAGGCAGCAGGGCGATTGTATACAGATAGACCTCGGGACCAGGGTCGTCCTTTCCACACCTGGTTTACTTCTTTAGCTGGGTGTTCTTGGGCAAGATACTTAATAGTAGAGACTTCATAAATTGAAGTTATTATTATTTCAAATACGTGTCTTATGGATCAGGGTCAAAATTGATTTGCCTTCGCTGTATTTCTGGCTCAGTTCCGAGGATGTTGGAGCTGGAATCTAGGAGAGCACTGGGTGGACCTGGGGCCTGCTAGAATCTAGCTGGGCGGTCTGGGCAGCCCGACAGCAGCCCAGCAGGCCTCTCTCTGGTGGAGCGGGCTTGATAGCTCCTCAAGGAAAGGCACTTGAATGATTCATTTGCAGGCTCCCCAGAGGGTGGCGTAGGCCTGGCACCACAGTTGGCATGTCCAGTGGGAATGGATGTGTAGGCAGTTGGAGGGACAGATGGGTGGATGGATGGCAGCCTCTTCCTCGTGGAAGAGAAACTGATTGAATGAATGTGGAGGTGCTTCATGGGGATGTTTGTAGTTCTCTGGATTTCTCTTGGCAACCTGGTGTGGGAAGGGGCTGGTAGGGTGTTTTGGATCACATGCAGAGGGCAGCAGGCTGGCACCTGCGTTTTGGTGGCCTCTGTTGGGAGGGCTTTGCTCAGGAAGTTCAGCTGCTGAAGCTGTTCTGAATTGAAGCAAGGTTTTAGAGTCAGCCTGTGTACTTCTTCTTGCTTTGTTTGGCATTCTCCTGTTTCCTTTCCTCTTTAGTAGGCTAAAATAGTCAGTTTAATTCATTATCAAAATTTCTAAAATAAGGTATTTGGGATGTGTGTGCTGCCTCTTTAGCAATCTGGCAGTTAGGTGCTCATTATCAGCGAGGTCAGGGATTCTCCAGGAGTTGTGTTAATGCACCTCAGAAGTGCTAAGGCCGCCAGCACTCCTGCTTCTTCCTTTCCTGGTGGGGCCTTCGACCAGAGCTATCTTATCCAGACTCACTCACCAGTCCACTGATGGCCTTTCACTCAGTCTTGTGTAGGGGCAACAGTGATTCAGCTTCATTTGAGAAGATAGTGAGCTGTACCAGGAAAATTATAGCTCTCAGAGATTCTTTTTGAGGGCTGTTAGAAACCTGGCTTTATTATTTTGAAAGATGAGATAAAATAAATAACTCTAAATAATGCAGTGTCTTCCTAATCGATTTTGTAATCCTTTTCCCTGAATAATTGGGAGAGGCAGAAGTCATGACATTCCAGTCTTATAAACCAACAAAGAAAAAAAAATCTTTTGCACAGAAATACATGGAAAACCAATACTGGTGAAATAATAAAACCAGAGCACAGGAGCAGCCTCTGGTATAAGTCATCCCAAACGTAACAGGCAGGTTCTTGGCCTGGGCCTCCTCAGCTCACGTGAGGCATCAGGAGGCCACATCCAGGGACCTGGCTGCTAGGGACAGCCAAAATGGAAGTTTGCCTCGCTTTTAAGATGAATAAAAGGACAGATACCGGTCTTGCACGAGCCTCTGCATTTGCCCAAACAGTGCCCAAAACTAGTGGACTAGCGTGTTTTCTGACCAGGCTCATGTAGGAGTCATTTTACTCCACCCCCCCTCCCCACCTCCACAGTTGCAGTTAATTTAAAAGTCTTGTTTTTATAGAACACCATCCTTGGCTGGTTTACCACAGTTGAATCCTTAATGACTTGGTCTTTTTGTTTTATCTTGATTTTGCTTTCTGCTGGTAGAAGATTCTCCTTTAATCACAGAATGTAGGCAGAACAGCGTGATGGTTTGTTTGCTATCTGGGTCCCACCTTTTGTAATTAGTCTGTTCCAAGTTCTCTTCTAAGGAAAGTAAAAGTTTGTTTTTCTCTTCTCGCCAGACTGTTGAGTGTTGTACATGGTCCCATTTTGAGTTGTTCTTGGTGAAATACATTTGACTTCCATGTAAAAGCAAAAGACTTTTGTGGTCAGTCAGGAGGCTAGCACAGCCTCCTCACATCCAGCATCAAAGGCCAGTTAGAGAAGCCTGGCCTGCGCCCACCCCGCAGCCTTCCATAGCAGTTACGTGAAGACAGTTAGTAAACTGCATGAAATTAGTAGGAGCTGCAAAAGACTGAATAGGTGTCTTTGCTCCATCTGGTTCATGAAAAACGAAAGCCTCATGTTGTAAGCAAAGCTGGGTCTTTGATTTTCATATGATTTCTCTGAAATTCAGAAATTTGGATGAAGGGCGTTAAGGCCAAGCCAAACTTAACCAAAGCAACCATCGCCTTCCCAAGTGCACACATGGCTTTTCTGTGACGTAGCCTCTGGGCCTCTCCTGCCCAGCTTGAAGGAAGCGTCTATGGGGGGAGGCCAGACCCAGGGCCTGTGGATTCTCCACTCATGGTCCCTCTGCAAGGCCTGGAGCAAGACAAGAGGCAGAAACGTGCTCCTTGTCATTCCTCTACACCACGGTCAGAGGGAAACGCTTTGCATTGGTTAAGGGACAGGGAGGAGAGCGTCATCACAGAAACTACCTCCGTGGCGGTGGCATGATGATGAGGTGTAGAGGAACTTGCTTCTTTGATCGGAAGTAAAGTGGCCTCTCCCAGTGTACTAATGGCCATGAATGCTCTTTCAGGGCCCACAGCCTGTCACCTACTGATCACCAAGCAGCTTTCTACCTGGCTCTGCAGCTTGCCATCTCCAGACAGGTCAGTCTCCGTGATGTTCCCTAACCCTGACGACGCTTCTAGTCTGCACAGTTCCCTCGGCTCCACAGCTTGAGGTTGCAGGTGACCTTCCCTCATTCTCTTGAGGCTGACTTGGAGCCAGGGGCTCCTTCCAGAGGACACTGACTCCTCCCAGAGGAGACTATGGAGTTTTGGTCAGTGTGAGCATGAGCCGTGAAAACACAGGTGTTCCAGGGTCTACTTTTGGAGATTGAATTTACAAATCTGTTGGGTTTTACAAATCTGGCAGGTTCTTGGCCTGGGCCTCAGTTGACAACATGGGGTGCAGAACATGGCATTTACGCTGGTCCCTGAAATCATCAAAGAGCCTTTGTCCCTTGCTAGGGTAGCAGAGCCCAGTGCTGGGCTGCTTGGCAGGGATTCAGTCACTGGGTAGGGCCTGGTTGTCATGAGGCCATCCTTCATTGACAGGAAGATGCCAACAGATACAAATATGCCAGGTCCATTAGAACGCATGGAAGACATGCACAGTTGCACCCCGTGGCTACTTGCAGCAGTGTTTTCCATGCTAGAGGGCAAGCCTTGCTGGCCTTCACCCTTCCCAAGGCTGTGAGTGCTACCCTGGTGTCCCCTCCCAGCTGTTCTGGAAACTAGCCACATGCCTGCCTACCCACCAGGTGCAAGACACTGGTGGTGACCCCAGCACATTCCAGAGTGCTGCCTGGGAGGGTGAATCAAAGGTCAGCTCCCCAGACATGCCGGTTCTCGTTCTCAGGAAGGCCGGGCTGAAGCGTGTGTCTCACTTCCCCATTGCCTGGGAGTAATGTGGAGAAGTGACTCCCGTTGGCCATCTGGGGATGGAGGAAACCAAGACACCTCCTCTGTAAAGGTCCTCTCCCCTGGCAGGGTGTGGCTCATAGCTGAATTGATCAGGAGCTACTGCTGTGACAGATGTGAGCCAAGCACTGACTTGGTCTCTTCTTCACCAAGAGCTTCCCTCCCCTCCTCTGCGAAGCCTCTAGCAGCCTGCCCTCCCTCCTCTTGCACGGCCGTCTTTTTCATTATTAGTCTTTCCCATTGAGCTTGAGATGCCAGGAGGGCAGGAGCCCAGGTCTGTCATCATCATTGCTTTTGGGGCTGGCTGATGGCTTGGCACTTGGCACACTGCCTGATAAGTGATCAGCACCTACTGTGACGCGTCAAACAAAGGAGCCAGCCTTAAATTCCCTCAGGTCAGCCGGCCTGATTTTTGAACCCAGTTTGTCCCTATTGCTCTGGTCATCCCTACAAATCGACACTATGAGTACAGCCTGCCTTCTGCCCCTTCCCATGGAACCACGTTGAGTGTTGTTCCAATGGTGGGTTGTCATGCAGGGAGTGGATAGCAGATGGAGGCCAAGAGTACGGCCACACGTGGTATCCAAACCCCATAGCTCTCAGGGAGTGTTTCCTTGCTGTCCAGGGACACTGAGGTCGTGACCCTCCTGCCTTCGAAGCCAATGCCATTTGACCAGGGGGAGAGTATGGAGAGGAATCAGAAGATCTAGAGTTATCTCATCTCACTCAACAGCTGGGTGACGTGCTCAAGTCCTTTCACCTCTGGACTTCAGTTCCTCCCTGTACATGAAGGATGGCGCCAGCTTATCTCCCTTCCATCTTGGCCGCCATGATGCTGGGTTCCAAAGCAGAAAGCATTTATCATCTCCGTCCACACAGAGTGGAGGCTCGAGGAGGAAAAGGAATAGGTTCAGAAAGCAGAAGTCATGGTTTCTAGTAAAGGGCTAGGTTCCTAGGGCTTGGGGAGAAGTGGGGGAGCTGGATGAATCTGAGTGGAGGCCCCATCCGGTGCTGGATTCCAGGGGGGAAGGAGTCCATGGGGTGGCTGCAAAAGAATACTTCTGTCCCCAGCTCTGTTTTGAAATCCAGCTTCAGATTCTCATTCCCCCTAGTTCCTGTTCGGCCTGCCCAGACTCTGGGGTATTCAGGTATCCACCATGTTTACACAGTGCCAGCCCAGTGCTTGAGTGGTTGTGAAGAACATCTTGGACAGCTGTTGCATTTAAAGGTTAAGGTTGCATCTTGTCCCACCTGAATTTGGGTACATCTGCTTTGTATGTGGCATTGCAATTTGTTTCTTGCATCCAGTTATTTGGGGTTATAGTTTGGAAAGGTGTGGGGTTTTGTTTTGTTTTGTTTTTCTCATATTTCCTTGATGGCAAATGGAGATCTGGACATCTTATCATTTGGAAAGTTTTGTTAAATTTTTATGACAAATATTAAGTACTTCAATGTCATAAATACTATAAAAAATGAGAATAATTCAGCCGCAACAGTTTAATTCCACTAAAAACCCCTGGCAATTTGTCCGTGTTTCCATTTACAGTGGAATCATCTTGGACATAATCAAAAGTAGATCCATTTTCTGGGGGAGAAAAAAACAAGAAATGCTTATTTAGGGAGAAATAGAGATTTGGTATGGTGGTGGTATAGAAAAGCAGGACTCTTGCTTCCCTTCACAGCCCATCCCACTCCCTCCGTCTATTTTCCTGTTCGTGGTTTGTATCCGGGGCCTGCCAGGAAGACTTAGCTTAAAGTGCGAACATGGCACAGTGAGACACAGGTCCTGACGTTCAGAGCCAGATATTGCACGAATGACCTCTTTCTTGTGTGACTGCATGTGTGTTAAAAAATTCTTTTTGGTTTTGTTTTAAACCAGATACCAGAGGCTCTAGGGTACGTCCGCCAAGCTCTTCAACTTCAAGGCGATGATGCCAACTCCCTGCACCTCCTAGCCCTCTTACTGTCAGCACAAAAGCATTACCATGACGCGCTCAACATCATCGACATGGCCCTGAGTGAATACCCCGAAAATTTTATGTAAGTGATGATGGGTTTTGATTTTCCCTTCCTCAGAGGTTACTAAATGGACTCCTTCCCCCTCCTTCTTTCAGTTTGTGCAGTGAGCTCCTCATGGACATCCTGGGAGTAAATAATATAAATCTCCTTTACTCTTTTTTAAAATTTTTTTAATTTTTATTTTTTCTTTTTTGCCGGCGGATTGCTTTCCATTTCTTTTTCCCCTTTTCCGGAATTTTCTTTTTTTTTTTTTTTTTTCTTATTATTGAAAACCATTTTTGTTTGGTTGGTTGTTTTTATTTTGGGTTTTGTTCTTCCTTTTTTGGTTGACTTCTTTCGGCCTTTTTTTCCCCCGTGTACTCTTGGAGCATACAGGATGATGTTATATGGATTGTAGATGAATATTTTAATAGTTATACATTTTTAGTTTTTCATTAAAAATATATTGTGTATCAAAGCATGATTTCATGAAAATTATTGCTCAGGGGGAGACTAAAAATGTTTAGCCCTTTTAAAGAAAAGTATTAAGAAAATACAATGCACATGGATGTGGTGAAATGTCTCTTGAACTCTAGTGACTGGAATTTGGCCAGCTTTGCTTTGTGGCTAGCTTGTCTTGTTTCACCAGGGCTGCCAGGAGCTCTGGCTGGTTAAGCTATTGCAGCAGCTTTGATTAAGATCTCTTACCTCCTTGAGCCTTAGTTTTATTCTCTAGGAACTGGAATAACTTAAAAAAGTCAATCAACATTTGTATACATTCTAAGAATTGTAACCTGTCATTTGCTTGAATTGCTTATTTACTTCACATCTCTTTTCTGAATCACATTTTTAATGAGCTCATGAATCTGGAATTCATGGAATCCATACAGTGGGGTCGGCTTTGTGGAGAACATTGCCTTTGGGCTACTGGGTTACCATTTCATCCTCAGTGGTGGTAACTTGGTAGTCCTACACAGTGGCCAGACACAGTCCACACGCCTGCAGGCTGGAAAGTCTATGTCTACATGGTGGCAGAGCCAGTGACGGGGAGGAGGGAAGGAAGGCTGCCCAGGGTGGCCCTACAGGCTTTTTCACTTTCAGAAGTAAGTGCGGTGGCAAACTTTTAAGTGGGTCAGCTTTGCCTTATTTCTCTGCCTCTTCACCTCACTGGGTTTTTTAATCAGTGTGTTTCAGCAGCTCTCCTTGGAAATTGGTTCACACATTTCCATTACAAACATTTCTTTGTCTTCAGTGAAAGGGCGTTTCTCTTCTCACCATCCAGAGAATTCTTGTTTTAATCCAGGAAACCTCTGACCAGAGGTTGCTTTTGTAGCTTCAGCTATTTGTGCAGAGTGAGTGTGTTCTGCTTCTGGTAGATCTCTCAGCCTTGCTCTTTTGCACAACCATACATTTCTGGATTTTCTCCAAAGATGTTTAGCCCAGGGAACCTTAAAATGGTTAAAATACTTTTAAAAATATTTGGTCTTTTACCCATACGGATACAGTAAGGTACAACCTGATACAATGGAACTCAGTTTCTCCCCTCAGTGTTTATAAGGTGCCATTCCCCCCTGCCCACCCAAGCACGCACATGCGCACGCCCACCCTGTCTTCACTAGATGTTAGACTCTGGCATGTGATTCCTGCTCCCACAGCCCAAGGTGTCCTCCAAGAGGAGGTTTATTAAACTAATAAGCCACACTACACAGTAAGCAGTCAACAGTGGCAGCTAGTATGGTGGTGCCTCCAAGTGACAGCAGCTGACAGCCTTTTCAAGTAGTAGAAAATAAGGAACAGCAGAGGAGATATTTCAGGAATGCAAGCCTGTTATTTTAATGTTAAGCCTTAAGCTGGAGATGCAAAGCGCATGGCTGCAGGACTGAGAGCAGTCCAAGACTTGTTTGCCTTTAGAATACTTGTACTTCTTCCTTTGGGAAGGAATTTCTTCCCATGAATACTTATTAAAAGTTGAGGCCAGGTGTAGTCAGTGGATCCCACTGTTTCTTCCCAACCTGGGTAAAACATTTCAACACCAACCTAAACAATAGTGAGTGAGCACTTGTCCCAGCCACTGTGTGATGTTATTTGTTTGTGACAAGCTTGTCCCCAGAAGAACTGTAGAATCTCTGGAGCCTAGAATTGCTTTGAGTCTTGGCGCTACCAGCCACACCTAGCAGATGGGGTATATGGTAGTTGTTTTGTCAGGTCTTGCTACAGGGAAGTGAAAAGTCCCAGTTAGGGTCACTCTGGTCCACCTGTTGAACAGTTGCCATATCAGACAGCTGGAAGCTTCACAGGAGCAGCTGATCTCACCAGTGATACCTGTCTGTATTAGTCTGTTTTCCGTTGCTATAACAAAACATCTGAGGCTATATTAGCATCTGTAGGGAAAAGAGATTTATTTAGCACACATTTGGAGGTTCAAGAGAGCAAAAGCTTCTGCTTGTCTCCGATGAGGGCCCCCTTGAGTATATGACATCACAGCAGATGGCATCCTGGGGGGAGCACTGTGAGAGAGAGCGAGAGAGAGATCACACAGTGAGACAGGAACCCAGAGAATTTTTAAACACATATGCAGTCACACAAGGGGAGGGCTGGCCTTGTTCTTTTATAACAACCCATGCATGAGAACTAACTGGAGTCTCCTAAGAATTCCATCACTTACTTACTCCAGGGCCTGCTCCAGTGACTCAGTTATTACAAGATATGCTACCTCCTGACATTGCCGTGCGCTGACCAGGCTCCAGCATGTGAAATCCTGAGGACACTCAGACCATATTCAAACCATGCATCATCTTCTGTGGTTTAGATGAGTGTCCTCCAGTTGGCCACGTGTTATAGGCTTGGTGTCCAGGGTGTTGACTCTGGAAAGTGGTGTAGACTTTTAGGAGATAGGATCTCATGGGAGCTCGTTAGGCCACTTGAGAGTGTGTCTCAGGAGGGATTATGGGACCCTAGCTCATCCCCTTGCACCCTGCCTTTTTTTCATGATGTGAGAAGTTTGCTCCACCCTGCTCTCCTGTGATGATGTGCTGCCCTAGTCAGAGGCCCAAAGCAATGGGGCAGGCACGCAATCTTGGACTAAAGAACCTCCAGAACTATTAGCCAAAATAAACCTTTTCTCTTTTTTTATTTTTTAAAATTACTTTTTAGGTGTAGTTGGACACAATGCCTTTATTTTATTTATTTATTTTATGTGGTGCTGAGGATGGAACCCAGGGCCCCGCATCTGCCAGAGAGCACTCTCCCACTGAGCTACAACCCCAGCCCCAATCCTTTTCTTTTTATAAGTTAATTGCTTCAAGTATTTCATTACAATGATGAAAGCTGATGAATACATCATCCTTATTGTCACCATGAAATGGTAAAAGTTGGTGTTTAAGTACTTTGAATAAGCTTAACAGGACCAACTTGCTGTATGCTGAGAGGCATCATCTCAGCCATTTTATCATTCCAAGCAGAACTGAGACTGAACAACAGATTTCAACATTTGGGAAGAATTTCCTACATGTAGGGATTATGAGAACCAGGAATTCTTTCCTAGAGGAATTGCAGAGATAAATTCACCGCTCTGGAGAAGCAGCCATTTTTCTGGGTATTATAGGGTTCTCCATAGAAGGAAAGGAATGTGGAAGGATCTTCTGTAGTATTTAAGAGGCAAAAAAAAAAAAAAAAAAACTGGCTTAGGACTTCCGTTCCTCCACTTTTGAGTAAGTAACCAAATCTGTCTATCTCATTTCCTCATTTATAAAATGTGGTAATATTACATAATAAATATTATTTGTAAAAATAACACATCTCAGAAGGTTATTGCAAGAATTGATTTTGTTAGTTCATTGAAGGCATTTGAACACACTAATCACTCAGTAATCAGTAGGGATTCATATTATTACCACCAACAGTACTACAATATCTTCAAATTTGATATTTCAGAATCCTTTAAAATTGTTGTTAGTAAGGCTGGGCTCTGGACGAGGTGGTGCCTGCCTATAATCCCAGCAACTCAGGAGACTGAGGCAAGAGAATCACAAGTTCAAAGCCAGCTTCAGCAATTAGTGAGACCCCAAGCGACTCAGTAAGACCCAGTCTCAAATTTAGAAAACTAAATAAAAAGAGTTGGGGATGTAGCTCAGTGGTAAGTGCCCCTGGGTCAATTCATGGTACCAAAAACAAGCTCTTGTTACTAAATATTGAATGGAAGCAAAAGAATACTTGTTCAACATTTAAAATAATGATAAACTAACTATTATACCCGTTTCTTTTTTTAAATTTTTTTTTTAGTTTTCAGTGGACACAACATCTCTATTTGTATGTGGTGCTGAGGATCGAACCCAGCGCCGCGCACATGCCAGGCAAGCGCACTACCGCTTGAGCCACATCCCCAGCCCTATTATACCCATTTATTAAGAAAAAGAACATTAATGCTGCCTATGAATTGCCCAGGTGTATTATTTGTATGTAAATGTGTGCTTCCTGTGAATATGTATTTCCTGTTATTACACGAGTGTTCTCCCTAGCCACTTCTCACACCCTACCTGGCAGGTTAATCCATGTCCTGAATTCTGTATTGAGCATTCTCTTAAGTCTCCATACCACTGTGTCTGTACTCTAAAATAATGAAATATTTTAGTTTTGCATGTTTTATATATTTTTTAAATGGAGTCATACTCAGTGTATCCTTATGCTACCTGCTTTCATTGCTTAGAATTCTGATCCTGAGGTTCCTCCTTGATGCATGCAGGAATCATTCATTTATTTGCACTTAGTAATTGTGTTTTATTGTATGAACTAGATTTACTTATCCAGTCACTGTAAATAGGTATGTGGGTTGTCAGTGCTCTCTTCGGTTCTCCTGGTGCACCATTTCAAGGGCCTCCCCAGGTGTGTCCCTGGGAGTGAAGTTGTTAGGTCAGAGGATATGTGTATCTTTAACTTTACCAAAGAATTCCCAACTGCTTCTCAGAGCAGTCATGCTGTCACACTCGCACCAGTACCCAAGAGCCCCCGTGGCTCTGCACACTCCTGCTGGGTGTTGCCTGGAC